CAAGCCAAACATGGAATACATTTGTTATAACGGATTAGATAAAATAAGCACAACCAAACAAACAAATAATAATAATAATAATAATAATAATAATAATTTTATTTTTTGTCGTGTCAAGAGCAACTTGAGAAACTGCAATATAATGATGATGATGATGATGATGATGATGATGATGATGATGATGGTGATGGTGATGATGATGATGCAAGGAAGCAGATGAAACAATAGATCATATCTTCAACTGCTGAAAGAAGATTGTGCAGACAAACTATAAGCAGAGGCACAACACCATTGCTCAGGTGATTCATTGGAACTTTTGCCACAACAACCATCTGCCTGCGACAAAGAACGAGTGGGATCACAAGCCTGAAAAAGTTACAGAAAATGAACATGTCAAGCTACTCTAGGACTTCCAAATTCAGACTGACAGAGTTTTGGAGCACATTCTGTATCTTTGCATTAGATTCTGCTTTATCTCCCCGGAAAGATTTAGAGTGGATTACAGTTTTACATATATAAGTCAAGCATTCAATGTGTTTTTACACCGTACCCAAAAACTATTTATTTATTTATTTGTATTGTCGAAGGCTTTCATGGCCGGAATCCCTGGGTTGTTGTAGGTTTTTCGGGCTGTCTGGCCATGTTCTAAAAGCATTCACTCATAGTCAATTGAAACATTCACACCTAGCTCCAGCAGACAAGAGTCCTTTGTCCCACCCTGGTCTTTCCGCAGATATATAAACCCTTTTTCCTAGTTCCAACAGACCTCACTACCTCAGAGGATGCTTGCCATAGATGCAGGCGAAACGTCAGGAGAGAATGCCTCTAGACCATGGCCATATAACCCGAAAAAACCTACAACAACCTATTTATTTATTTATTTATTTATTACTGTGTTTGTATACCGCCTTTCTCAGCCCACAGGTGACTCAAGGTAGTTTACAGGGCAAACTTCAGTGCCCACAATACCATAAATACAATTAAAAACGTTAACATATAATAAAAACCATAATAACGTCAATAAAAGCCTGAGTCATCAGTGTCTCCTCGTTAAAAACATTGTCTGGTTCCATCGTCAAATCGTTCCTACGACAGTTACTCTGCATTTGCAAACACTTACTCAAAAAGCCAAGTCTTTTGCCTTTTTGTCGAAATGTTAAAAGGGAGGGGGCTGATCTGATATTCCAAGGGAGGAGGGTGTTCCATAGCTGTGGGGCCACCGCAGTGAAGGCCCTGTCTCTCGTCCCCACCAGACAATACACAGATATATGTAAAGACCTTCCCTTCCATCTCAGGAACAAATAATCCTTTGCAACACTGTTTTTACCCCAAGATATCTCTACCCAACGCTTGAAGTTTGGAGCTTCATCACACTAAAGAAGAAAATCCACTTAAAATCCGATTTCTGCATCTTGAGCCTTTAACAGCCTCACTAAACTACAAACCCCAGAATTTTGCAGGACGCTGAAACCCAATTTTATGTGGTTTTCTTCTCTAGTGTGATATCATATTATAGAATCAAAGAGTTGGAAGAGACCTCATGGGCCATCCAGTCCAACCCCCAGGAATATTGCATTCAAATCACCCCTGACAGATGGCCATCCAGCCTCTGCTTAAAAGCTTCCAAAGAAGGAGCCTCCACCACACTCCCTCCGGGGCAGAGAGTTCCACTGCTGAACGGCTCTCACAGTCAGGAAGTTCTTCCTCATGTTCAGATGGAATCTCCTCTCTTGTAGTTTGAAGCCATTGTTCCGTGTCCTAGTCTCCAAGGCAGCAGAAAACAAGCTTGCTCCCTCCTCCCTGTGGCTTCCTCTCACATATTTATACATGGCTATCATATCTCCTCTCAGCCTTCTCTTCTTCAGGCTAAACATGCCCAGCTCCTTAAGCCGCTCCTCATAGGGCTTGTTCTCCAGACCCTGATCAATTTTTAGTCGCCCTCCTCTGGACACATTCCAGCTTGTCAATATCTCTCTTGAATTGTGGTGCCCAGAATTGGACACAATATTCCAGGTGTGGTCTAACCAACGGAATAGAGCATGGGTAGCATTACTTCCCTGGATCTAGACACTATGCTCCTATTGATGCAGGCCAAAAACCCATTGGCTTTTTTTGCCGCCACATCACATTGTTGGCTCATGTTTAACTTGTTGTCCACGAGGACTCCAAGATCTTTTTATGATGAACACATTAGGTTGCCGTTCCTTAAGTGGGTGGCTCAGTAGTGGAGGCAGGAGTCTAGGATTCTCTGAGCCTTTTGTGAAACGCTGCTGGGGTTTGGGAAGGTGTCTTTGTTCCTCAGGCCGATGGAGGGATGAGGGAAGAGTCCCCAGCTGAGAAAAGCAAAGGGATGTGCCAATCCTGAGCATTCCCCTCTTCCACTTCATCTCCTCACTCCCCCGCACCCCATTTAATTACAGCTTGCCATTCTCTCAGGGCAGGTAGCTGTTTTGGTGCGCTTTGCAAAGCCTTTGATGCTGTGCTATAAATAAGGCCCAGGTTGTGCAAACCGGGGAGGAAAAGATGCAAAATCTCATGGATTGAAATGTGGCCGCCTTCTGCAAGGCGTTTGGATTTCACAGAATCCTAGAATCCTAGAGTTGGAAGAGACCTCATGGGCCATCCAGTCCAAACCCATTCTGCCAAGAAGCAGGAAAATTGCATTCAAAACAGCCCTGACAGATAGCCACCCAGCCTCTGTTTCAAAGCCTCCAAAGAAGGAGCCGGCACAACACTCCTGGAGGTCGGGACCCCTGGGGGTGTCGTGAGGGGGTGTCAGATGGGTCACCAAAAAACATCACAAAACACAGTGTTTTCTGTTGGTCATGGGGGTTCTGTGTGGGAAGTTTGGCCCAATTCTTTCGTTGGTGGGATTTAGAATGCTCTTCGATTGTAGGTGAACTATACATCCCAGCAACTACAATTCCCAAATGTCAGGGTCTATTTTCCCCAAATTACAGCAGTGTTCAAATTTGAGCATATGGATTGTAGGTGAACTATACATCCCAGCAACTACAATTCCCAAATGTCAAGGTCTATTTTCCCCAAATTACAGCAGTGTTCAAATTTGAGCATATGGATTGTAGGTGAACTATACATCCCAGCAACTACAATTCCCAAATGTCAAGGTCTATTTTCCCCAAATTACAGCAGTGTTCAAATTTGAGCATATGGATTGTAGGTGAACTATACATCCCAGCAACTACAATTCCCAAATGTCAAGGTCTATTTTCCCCAAATTACAGCAGTGTTCAAATTTGAGCATATGGATTGTAGGTGAACTATACATCCCAGCAACTACAATTCCCAAATGTCAAGGTCTATTTTCCCCAAATTACAGCAGTGTTCAAATTTGAGCATATGGATTGTAGGTGAACTATACATCCCAGCAACTACAATTCCCAAATGTCAAGGTCTATTTTCCCCAAATTACAGCAGTGTTCAAATTTGAGCATATGGATTGTAGGTGAACAGCAACTACAGCAACTATCCCAGCAACTATAATTCCCAAATGTCAAGGTCTATTTTCCCCAAATTACAGCAGTGTTCAAATTTGAGCATATGGATTGTAGGTGAACTATACATCCCAGCAACTACAATTCCCAAATGTCAAGGTCTATTTTCCCCAAATTACAGCAGTGTTCAAATTTGAGCATATGGATTGTAGGTGAACTATACATCCCAGCAACTACAATTCCCAAATGTCAAGGTCTATTTTCCCCAAATTACAGCAGTGTTCAAATTTGAGCATATGGATTGTAGGTGAACTATACATCCCAGCAACTACAATTCCCAAATGTCAAGGTTTATTTTCCCCAAATTACACCAGTGTTCAAATTTGGGCATATGGAAGATCCGTGCCAAGTTTGGTCCAGATCCATCATTGTTTAAGTCCACAGTGCTCTCTGGATGTAGGTGAACTACAACTCCAAAACTCAAGGTCAAAATCAATACGCTACCCCCAACTGCACCAGTATTCAAATTTGGGCGTATTGGGTATTTGTCCAGTGAATGAAAATACATCTTGAATATCAGATATTTACATTACTACAGCAAAACAGCAGAGAGGAAACAACCAGGCACATCTTAACACTTCTCAACAGAACATTTTCCCAGGCTCAGCCAGGCCTTCAAATGCTAATGAAGGTGGTCAGTTGAAACATTCACACCTAGCTTCAGCAGAGAGCTCTTTGCCCCACCCCAGTCATTCCACAGATATATAAACCCATTTTACTATTTCCAACAGACCTCACTACCTCTGAGGATGCTTGCCATAGATGCAGGTGAAACGTCAGGAGAAATGCCTCTAGAACATGGCCCTATAGCCCGAAAAAACCCACAAGAACCTATTTACATTACGTTTCATAACAGTAGCAAGAATACAGTTGTGAAGTACTAACGAAAATAATATTATGATTGGGGGGGGGGAGGTCACCACAACATGAAGAACCATATCAAGGGGTCGCAACATTAGGAAGGTTGAGAACCACTGATCTACACTGTAGAATAAATGCAAGGCACTTTTAATTTCCATGGTTCAATGCTATGAAATCATGGGAGTTGTAGTTTGGTGGTGAGGCACCAGCTCTTTTTACCAGAATAGGTTAAAGACCTTGTCAAACTGCAAATCCATAGCATTGAGCTATTGCAGTTGAGGTGGTGTCATTCATTCTGTGGTGTAGATGCATCCTAGATTGTTGGAAGCATGAAAAAAAAACACTTCTGCATCTTCTTCTCACTTCAAGCTTTGACATGCTTGATAACTACTGCAAATTCTTCAATGCATAAAGAAACCAGAGCTTGGAGAAGTTAGTTTTTTAGCCAAATGGAAGATTTTGGGAGTTACAGTCATTAAAAGGACTCTTTCCCAATCTTTGAGAGGGATCTCAGCTGGGCAGATATAGCCATGTGTATTGGGTGCATGTTGCGAGAGGGTACTTCTCACCCTTTTCCTTGGAGCTGCCACCTGACTCTTCCTGTCTCCCACTCTTTTTGTGTAGTACTCCACCGAACTGAAGAAGCTCTACTGCCAGATTGCCAAGACGTGTCCCATCCAGATCAAGGTGATGACCCCTCCGCCGCAGGGGGCCGTCATCCGCGCCATGCCCGTCTACAAGAAAGCCGAGCATGTCACCGAAGTGGTCAAGCGCTGCCCCAACCACGAACTCAGCCGGGAGTTCAACGAGGGTGAGTCGGAGCATCCAGGGGAGCCCTCTCTTTCTACCCATATATGCAAGGGTGCACTTGCACTGCACAATTCATGCACTTTGACTGTTCTTCTACTGCCATAGAAGTTGTAGTTTTAGAAGGTCTTTTGCTCTCTCTGTCGTCGTGCTGGTGCCTCACCAAACTACAACTTTAGGTTTCTCTAGTATTGACTTTTGCCAGTAAAAGTGGCCTCAAACTGCATTAATTCGATAATATAGATGTACCCTAAGTCCAGTTTCTACATTTTACTCCTTCTTTTCTCCTTCCGCCCTTCTTATTTTCTCCTTCCTTTCTTCCTTCCTTCCTTCCTTCCTTCCTTCCTTCCTTCCTTCCTTCCTTCCCTCCCTCCCTCCCTCCCTCCCCTCCCTCCCCCTCCCTTCCTTCCTTCCTTTTCCTTCCTTCTTTTTCTTCCTTCCTTTCTTCCTTCCTTCCTTCCTTCCTTCCTTCCTTCCTTCCTTCTTTCCTTCCTTCCTTCCTTCCTTCCTTCCTTCCTTCCTTCCTTCTTTCCTTCCTTCCTTCCTTTTCCTTCCTTCTTATGTTCTCCTTCCTTCCTTCCTTCCTTCCTTCCTTCCTTCCTTCCTTCCTTCCTTCCTTCCTTCCTTCCTTTTCCTTCCTTCTTATTTTCTCCTTCCTTTCCTTTCTTCCTTCCTTCCTTCCTTCCTTCCTTCCTTCCTTCCTTCCTTCCTTCCTTCCTTTTCCTTCCTTCTTATTTTCTCCTTCCTTCCAGTGATGGTTTCTGGCGGCAGCCAGGTTACTAACAGGAGCAGTGCTCAGGAACACACTACTCCTCTGTTGCGTCAGCTCTGCTGGCAGCCAATTTCCTACCAAGCACAATTCAGAGTGCTGGCTTTAGCCTATAAAGCCTTCAACAATTCCAGCCCAGCTTACCTGTCTGGCCATATCTCCTCCTATGAACCATCTAGGAGCTTAAGATCATCTAGGGAGGCCCTGCTCTCGATCCCGCTTGCCTTGCAAGTGTGATTGGCGCAGACGAAGGACAGGGCCTTCTCAGTGATGGTCCCCTGGCTCTTTGAGCAAGCTTTTGAGAATGCAGCGGAATAGATAACACGGAACTATGAATGATGAACATGGAATGGCCAGACGATGTTATTGGATAACGTTTTTAACAAGATGACAGTGATGATTATATGCTTTAACGATTTTTATTTATGTTTTATATTGTAATGTTGATTGTTTTTAATGTCACTTTTATGAATGCCTGATATCGAATTGTGCCAATCTGTAATCCGCCTTGAGTCGCCGTATGGCTGAGAAAGGCGGGCTATAAATATCGTAAATAAATAAGCAAACATTGATGTGTAAGTTTCATTCATTGTACTTTGTGGATGATGAGCTTTATTACTTTGAAACTTGGCCAGTTAAATAACAGACAAATCTTGATGTAGGAATCTTGGTCCCTTTGGCGAATGAGGTGGTCCTTCTGCTGAACTTGTTGACCTTTCCCCCTTGCCCTTTTGCAGGTCAGATTGCACCCCCGAGCCATCTCATCAGAGTGGAGGGCAACAGCCATGCCCAGTATGTGGAAGACCCCATCACTGGGAGGCAGAGCGTCCTGGTGCCCTATGAGCCCCCCCAGGTGAGCTTTGGGTAGTTCTGCATTCTCATAGTATCATAGAACCAACCGTGCATGAAGACCCAATCCAAGTCCTCCCAACAGATGGCCATCTGGCCTCTGTCCAGTAACCTCCAGAGAAGGAGACTCCATTGAACTCCGAGGCAACAACATATTCCTCTGTCCAACAGCTCTGACTATCAGGAAGGCTTTCCAAATGTTTACATGACATCTCTTTCCCTGGGGTCTTGTATCCATTCCTCAACGTGTTGCTTCTTAAACTGTGGGCCCTCCCTCCAAATTAGGGGTCCCCTCTACTCAGGGTTTGCCAGAGTGCCTTTGACATTGCTGAGTGACTCGGAGTCCAACCAAGACAATAATTCAATTTTTTTGGTGTGTCCTTCAGGTTGGCACGGAATTTACTACCGTGTTATATAATTTTATGTGCAACAGCAGCTGCGTTGGGGGCATGAACCGGCGTCCTATCCTTATCATCGTGACACTTGAAACAAGAGAGTAAGTAACGCCAGCATGGAAGGGCAGTGTCGCAAGTGGCAACCTTATTTCTTATTTATTAATTACAGCTTTTATATTCCGCCCTTCTCACCCTGCAGGGGACTCAGGGCGGATTACAGTGTACACATGTATGGCAAACATTCAATGCCAATTTTTGACATACGAACATATATAGACATAAACATGCACCGGGATTGTGGCGCAGCTGGCTGAGTGTCAGCTGCATTAAGATCACTCTGACCAAAAGGTCATGAGTTCGAAGCCACCCCGGGCTGGAGTGGGTGTCCAGCCATCGTGTAGCCCGTTGTCGACCTTTGCAACCCGAAAGACAGTTGCATCTGTCAAGTAGGAAAATAAGGGACCACCTTGTGTGGGAGGCTAAATTTAACTAATTTATGAGGCCATAAAGAAAGAAGACTCCGGGGAATGTGGAATGCGGAAGAACTTCATCAGTGTCGTTGATGGACAATGAAAACCAGCAGCTCCCCTGGCGGCCAGAAAAAAAAAGTTAAATAGCCTTTGTCTGTTAAATGTTGTTTGTCAAACTGGCATTGAATGTTGCCATATATGTGTTTACTGTAATCCGCCCTGAGTCCCCTGCGGGGTGAGAAGGGCGGAATATAAGAACTGTAAATAAAATAAATAAATAAATAAATTATATTAACTTTTTCTGTCCACCAGGGGAGCTGTCGCTTTCATCGTCCATCTGCGACGCTGATGAAGCACTTCCGCATTCCCCGCATGCTTCCCCGCTGGAATGCTTTGCTGGAGTTTTCTTTATGGCTTCATAAATTAGTTAATTTAGCCTCCCCACACTATTTTCCCCTTATTTTCCTACTTGACAGATGCAACTGTCTTTCAGGTTGCAAAGGTCGACAACAGGCTACACACAATTGGTTGGAAACCCACTTCAACCCGGGCTGGCTTCGAACTCATGACCTTTTGGTCAGAGTGATCTTAATGCAGATGACACTCAACCAGCTGCGCCACAATCCTTGCAGTTTTTGTTGTCTGCATTCTGTATTTTTTTTCTTTATTGTACCTTTGGGCTTGGCCTCATGTTAGCCGCCCCAAGTCCCCTTTGGGGAGATGGCAGCGGGGTATAAATAAAGATGATGATGGTGATGATGATGATGATGATGATGATGATGACGATTGTTATTATTATTAACCTGCTTTGGTTATGGAGGTCTTGGGGACACATTGCAAGAGTTGAGGATGAGCCAGAACATAAGATCATGAACCCTTCACTTGATTCAGGTGTTTTCTGCAATTCGTGTCCATATAGTTCCCAAGCACCAGCTAGGAAATAGTGCTTTCATGAGTTATCAGGCAATTCCTTTTTGCATGAGGCTGAACTCTCCAGTCTGCCTGCAACTTAATCTTCTTTCAAGGACCATGTTTGCTGGTTTGAGGCTCTCCTTTTCATGGGTCGGATTTGCACTTAGGAATGTGAATCCGCTCTTGTGCAAGAAGGAAATGCAGTGTTTCCTCGTTATTATTATTACCTTGCTTATATACCGCTGTTCTCAGCCCGAAGGCGACTCACAGCGGTTCGCAACAACAAGAGACAACAAAATTCAATAATTACAGTATAAAAGCAGTTATCAACTTAATAGAGTTGCATAATTAATAACAATAAACAATTATCAATTAACAATTACTACAATAGCCATTCACTATCATCTCATCATCAAAACATGATCCAGATTCGTCATCCAATGATCCATTCCAGTGTTAATTAACCAATCATTGCACTCATTGTTCAAACGCCTGCTTGAATAGCCAGGTCTTCACTTTTTTTCGGAATACCATCAGAGATGGTGCTAGTCTAATGTCGGTAGGGAGGGCGTTCCACAGCCGAGGAGCCACCACCGAGAAGGCTCCTCGTTGTTTTGCAGTTCGCTTTCTGCAAATTCGCTGTTTTGCGGTTACGGTTTAGAATTAATATTCTAAACCCTAACTGCAAAACAGTGAGTCTGTGGGCTCTGTGGGTGCCAGGGTGAGGTGGGGAATCCGGCCCTGGCCAATCCAGGGGCAGGGCCTGCCGTTGGTTGGATCGACCAGGGCCGGCTTACCTACATTGCACCAGCAGCCTTTGCAGGGCTGCCCGGGGCCTCCATGGCTCCCGGGGCGAGGTGGGGAAGCCGGTCCTGGCCAAACCAGGGGTGGGACTGGGTCTGTGGCTGGTTGGCCATTTGGCCAAGTGGCGGGAGACTTCAAGCCATTCAGGGGGTTTCTACGAAGAAGCCCCCTGCAAGTGGCATGGCCAGCCGGCCAAGAGGTGGGAGACTTCCAGTTGCGCAGGGTTCTTCTGGGAAGTAGAAGCCCCCTGCAAGCAGTATAGCTGGTGGGAGGGTGCCTCTGCTGCAACGGCCCTTGCTTGGTAAGTTGGGCAAGGCATTTCTGATTTTAAATACTGGAAATGTATATAGTATTGTCGAAGGCTACCTCTGAGGATGCTTGCCATAGATGCAGGCGAAACATCAGGAGAAAATGCCTCTAGAACATGGCCATATAGCCCGGAAAAACCTACAACAACCCAATATATATAGTGTCCCTACTTTGCAGATTTTCACTTACCATGGGTGATCCTAGAACTTAAAACCCATGATAAGTGGGGGAACACTGTATTTCCAAATTGTTCTCCTTGCTGGGTGATTTTTTATTTCAATTGGGGAGCTAATGGACCTCTGCTTTTGCTCTCCTGCAGTGGACAAGTCCTGGGCCGCCGGTGCTTTGAGGCTCGGATCTGCGCCTGCCCTGGAAGGGACCGGAAAGCCGATGAAGACAGCATCCGGAAGCAGCAAGTCTCCGACGGCACAAAGAACGGTGACGGTACGAAGCGCCGTAAGTAGTTGGGTGCAGGTGCCCTGCGGAGCTAGAAGAAGGACTCTCCGGGGGGTTTCTTGCAATGCAAACATTGTGCTACACAAGACCTTTTGCAGTTTATTCACGGCCGTCATAATCTCATTTTATCTGCCATGACTCAATGCTGTGGAATCCTGGGAGCTGTAGATTGGGCAGAGAAGGCTAAAGGCTCATCAGAAAGGATCGATATTATTTATTTACTATATTTGTATACCGCCCTTCTCAGCCCTTAGGCAACTTTATGTCCTATCCTTTCCCCTAAACTGGGACTTGAAGATGGCTAACCAGTTAAAACCAAAACAGTAGGCACTGTTACCCTCCCCCCCCCAAAATATCTTCGGCTCATACATTTTGGAGACGTGAAACCACAAATAATAGCAGACCTACTGAAATGAACCATTTCTGGCAGAAGCATACTATAGAATTATGTTGAAGGAACTAGAAAATACCTAGCATTTCTAGGTCCCTTCAGTACGGTCCTATGGTCACACTCCAGCATAAGAAAACCTAAACCTATCACTGGAGGATCTAGATCAGGGATGGGCCAACTTCGGCCCTCCTGGTGTTTTAGACTTCAGTTCCCACAATTCCTAACAGCCTTGTCACGATGACAAGGGCTCTGCCAATATTTAGGCAGAGATTAACCAAACTCCCATTGTGTTAAACAATTTAATTAAAACAGCACTTACTTTCTGGCTGTTTGAATAGTCCAAAAGATAGCACTCAGCCACAGAATATAAAACAAAAACAGATAGCAAATGCTACACCGTAGTCAAAGGGTTCAGTCCAGTGGTCAAATGCCGAGAGTTCAATGAGCAAAGTCCAGGGCTCAAGAGTCTATACCGTAGTTAAAAGCTAGTCCAAAGATTCAAGTTTCCAAGGGTTCAAGAGACAGGTCAGGATGCCAAAAATTCACAAACCTGGGGGAAAATCAGCAGCATCTACCACCAAAATAAGACAAATACTTTTCTCCCAAAGATCAGTCCCAAGTCTCGCTCCTTATATCCAGAAAAACCCAGTTGCAACCAATCTCTTGCGTACCTCCACCCTTAATTGCTTTCACCCAACTTTTACTTACAGATTACTCAACCCTTAAGAACTAAGACTTACATTAACCCTTCCGTCACCAACTGCTAGGCCTACCACCACAAACCACCAACAACTGCAGAACATGATACATAGAATCATAGAATCAAAGAGTTGGAAGAGACCTCCTGGGCCATCCAGTCCAGCCCCATTCTGCCAAGAAGCAGGAATATTGCATTCAAATCACCCCTGACAGATGGCCATCCAGCCTCTGTTTAAAAGCTTCCAAAGAAGGAGCCTCCACCACACTGCAGGGCAGAGAGTTCCACTGCTGAACGGCTCTCACAGTCAGAAAGTTCTTCCTCATGTTCAGATGGAATCTCCTCTCTTGTAGTTTGAAGCCATTGTTCCATTGCGTCCTAGTCTCCAGGGCAGCAGAAAACAAGCTTGCTCCCTCCTCCCTGACAGCCCAGAATCTTGCAGATGTTGATGATTGAGTTGTACTGGAAGACCTAGACATTCCAAGAAAGAAAGAAGCCATTTCTTTATTAGTGTCCCCCCACTCTATTTCCCTGTGCCCCTATTCCCAGAGAATTTGGAGGGCTAGTTGTTATGAGCAATTGAAAATAATACAATTAAAAAGAGTGTTGTTCTCCATTAATCACCGTGCCTTTTTTTCTCCCCGTTACAGCTTTCCGGCAGAGCACCCACGGCATCCAGATGACCTCCGTCAAAAAGCGACGCAGTCCAGACGATGAGCTCTTATACTTGCCGGTAAGCACACACTTTCCCTTCGCATAGAAATAAAGTTTATTATTATTAATAATTCAGCTGTGAAGTCTGTGGTGTTGTTGCCATTGTTAATTGCAGTTGATCCCAGGTCTCTCTTGTTGAAAAATGTCTTACTTCCTCTACTTTCTGTGCAGGTTCGAGGCCGGGAGACATACGAGATGCTGCTGAAGATCAAGGAGTCCCTGGAGCTGATGCAGTACCTCCCTCAGCACACGATTGAGACCTACAGGCAGCAGCAGCAACAGCAACAGCAGCACCAGCACTTGCTGCAGAAACAGTGAGTGGAGGGGACCGAGGGGGTCTAGGGACGGGGAATTGGGGAGGGGGGACACTCGCACTCAAGAAAGGGCCTGATTGGAACCGGATTCAATGCATGAACCAACGCTCTGTTGTGGCATGGTCTGAACCACATTCCTTGAACCTCAGAAAATTGTGCATGGGCTGCGTATTTTGTGTCTTTGTGTGGTGGATCAGTGTATATTTGCAGGGGATCCAGGGATTGGGAATTGCAGCTGACTGGGGGGGGGGGGAGGAGGCACTTGCACTCAAGAAGGGACCGGATCGGAATCTGGATTCAATGCACTCTCTGTTGTGGCATGGTCTGAACCATGTTTCTTGAKCTGCTGTGAATTGTGCATGGTCTGTGAATGATGTGTTTGCGTCTTGTGGACCAGTGTATATTATTTGCAACTGACAGTATTTATAGAGCTTGAATGGACCACAACAAGAGCGAGAAACTACAGGTCTGTGATCCACAAAGGCTGTTGTTAGATAAAGTGTGTCGGGGTAAAAACTAAACACTGGATTATTAGGTATGTAATTCCTTCTCTCACATCCTCCCTGTGCTGCGCATGAGACTTATTGTCTCAGGGCAAGCAATTAAATTAATCCAAAGCACAGAGTCTTTATCAGTAGTTAGCAGAGATTTACTTCACAGCCTCTGACGTTGTTTGCCGCTTACTGCTTTCACAAGACTCTTGAGCTCTGGCTTTCATCCAAACTCTTTTTGGAGGCTTTTATCTTCACTCATTGCTTTTGTACAACTATTTACACATCGGTATATACCAAGATATACTCACAGCAACAGTATAGTGACAATACAATGAGAAACGATGACCGTAGCAAGAGACAAACATGGCAAGAGATCATCATGGTGAGAGAGCATTATGGTGAAAGAGTGTGCACATGCCTACTGCCTACTTGTATACCCATAAGCTTCTTGCCATCACACAGGGACAACAGAAAATGATACAATTCCTGTCATGCCTGCCACATGGTCATGACTCCACTCCTTTTTCTGTCCCTCTATTTCCACCTCACCATTTGTTTAACCCAGGGGTCCTCAAACTAAGGTCTGGGGACTGGATACAGCCCTCCAAGGTCATTTACCTGGCCCTCGCTCAAGGTCAAACTAAGTCTGAAACGACTTGAAAGCACACAACAACAACAACAATAACCCTATTTCATCAGTCAAAGGCAGGCCCACACTTCCCATTGAAATACTAATAAGTTTATATTTGTTTAAATCATTCTTCATTTTAATTATTGCATTATTTTAAGAGGTTTTTGCACTGCAAATACGTTATGTGAAGTGTGCATAGGAATCCATTCATGCTTTTGTCAAACTATAATCCGGACCTCCAACAGTGTGAGGGGCTGTGACCTGACCCTCTATTTAAAAAGTTTGAGGACCCCTGGTTTAACCCTTCAGTGGAATGTGCTGTGACACGTTGCCAGGGCTCTGCCTTATTTGGGTAGAGATGAATCAAACTCCCAGTTTCATCAAACGGTTTAATTAAAACTTAACTTGCTGGCTGTTTTTATAGTCCAAAATATAAAACACAAAGATAGCACACAGCTACAGAATAAACAAAAACTGATAGCAAAAATAACTTTGTAGTCAAAAGGGTCCAGTCCAATGGTCAAATGCCAAGAGTTCAATAAACAAAGTCCAGGGATCAAGAGTTTATACCATAATCAAAAGCCAGTCCAAAGTTTCAAGGTTCCAGGGTTCTAAGATTACAAGAGACAGGTCAGGATACCGAAAAATCCAACAGACCTGGGGGAAAAACCAACAGCATCCACCACCAAAATACAATAGATACTTTTCTCCCAAAGATCAGTCTCAAGGTTAGCTCCTTAAATCCAGTAACACCCAGCTGCAACCCATCTCCTGCACACCTCCACCCCTAAGTGCTTTCACCCATGAACTTTGACTTACAGATTACCAAAGCCTCTAGAACTGTGGTTCTCAGCCTGGGGTCTCCAGGTGTTTTTGGCCTTCAACACCCAGAAATCCTAACAGCTGGTAAACTGGCTGGGATTTCTGGGAGTTGTAGGCCAAAAACATCTGGGGACCCAAGGTTGAGAACCACTGCTCTAGAACTAATACTCACATTAACCCTTCCATCACCAACCATCAACTGCAGAACATATGACATACATGTCTATTAGAACTGTATTTTCCTAACAGTAATACACAATGGAGTTAACAGACAATGCATTTCTATCTAACAGAGCATTATCTACTGGACAAAGTGGCCCTCTGTGATGACGCTGGGGAGGAAAGGTGACATGTGTATGATGGGAAGGGAGTGAGAAAAGAAGGAAGGAAAGCAACAGAGAAAGAGAAAAGGAAGGGAAAGAAAGAAAAGGAGGAGGAAGTCAAGGAGGGAGAGGGAACAAACAAAAAGGGTGTAAGGAGAAAGGAAAGGGGAGAAGGGAGCAAGCAGGTGGGCAACACTCCCAATGACATCTGGACAACATTAGGTATATATGCTTATATTTCCTTTAAGACCCTTTCTTCTTTTGGGGGTGTGACTAAACTGACCCTCGTAACTTCAGCAGTGGTTGGCAAACCACCAAGGAATGACTGGAGGGCATTGCATGGGATCCTTTCTCTTTGGCCGTGGCGTGGCGTGAAACCCACTTGATACAAATCCAGTTCTGCTTCTCATATGGATTCCCGTGATAGGTAGCATTCTCCTTGACACATGAGGCATTCAGCCTTCCTGCTGAGTATACATAAGGTCAGAGAAGTTTACACCAGGCATTTGCCTTAAATGCACAGTGTTGCAGCTATAGGTACCCTTTTTTTGCCCTTTGGGAACTAGAATGGCTGGAATTCAGCATTTTGTAAAAAATGTTTTCTTACCTAAGGCTTGGAAGAGCATTTGAAAAATATCTGGAAAACAATGCTCAGAGTGCTGAGAAACTCGTATCAAGAAGAATAGTGGATTGGCACAAATATTTCGAGTTTATTCTCTGCAAACATTCACATGGGGTTGTTTGGGACAGAAAACAATATTTCTAGTGCAGAGAATAACGGTTAATTTGCTGTGCAGAAAAAGCCGTTTTCTTCCCAAAACAACCATGTGTGAATTATGCGCAATGCAAGTCCTGAATGGCTAATAGCATAGTTCAAAAAGTGTAGTTTCCAGAGGCTTTTTCAAAGTAGAAAGAAAACTGGTAAAACTACTCAAGACTTACTTTGAGAAGAAACATAGTGAAGATTCACTACTCTCCTATAAACCCAACCAGTTGCAGTCATCCTTTGCATAAAGTCAGGTTTGGTATTTTTGGTGATAAAGAAGACTTAAAAGCAGCTGGATTTTCAAAGGTGACAGCTGAGTTATGCCAAGGGTGCATCTAGACTGTAGAATTAATGTGTTTCGATACCACTTTAATGGCCATGGCTCAATGTTATGCCATTGTGGGAATTGCAGTTTTACAATGCCCACAATCATCACGTCATCAAACTCCAATTTCCACTATTTCATATGATGGACTTATGGCAGCTAAAGTGGTCTCAAACTGCATTAATTCTACAATGTAGATGTAACCCTTGCCTCCAAGGGTCAATACATGCTTCAATGCACCATTTAGTCTTAAGGATGCAATCCTGTATCCAAATTCCTGGAGATTTGCCCCCATTTAATGCAACATGGAATCTTGAGGGTGCAATCCTGTATCCAAATGCCTGAGGATTTGCCCCATTGAATGGGCTGAGGTTGCGCCGTAAGTGTGCGTCGCATGCCACACAATTTTCTCTTCGAATCCTTGGCTGCTGGGCGCTGGCATTTGTGTCACAGCAAGTGGCATGGCTTTGAGACATTCATTCTGAAGAGCAGAGATGCTGCCTGCCATGGGACCTGGAACGTTTTGCATGCGAAGCATGTGCCCTGCTATGCGCCCCGGAGTCCTGCTTTGAGCCTGTCGACAAGACTCACACTTTGTAAAACGATCGTTTGTAAGAAGAAGCTCGAGCCACCCTCCAGATCTGCGTGTATTGCTTTTTTCCTCGCTTGTTGCTATTTGGTTTTAGTTCCTTTGGTCTGCCTCATCCGAATGGTTTGCTTTCTTTTTTTCCTCCACTCAAGTACCTTCAGGATCACGAGGGGTCTTTTCTGAGTCCAAGTTTCCCAATATTGTACAATACTGTATTATTTCATTCTTTATTACATTTTAATGTTGCGCTTTCTAAAACCATGGCAAAGTGTAGGATTGTTAGCCACTTTGAATCCCTAACATTGCTGCTTTTCGGGGAGAAAGGCAGCATATAAATCAACAACAACAACAACTTTCATACTCACAATTTCTATACAATGAAGGGAGCAATCCCCAAAATTGTTCAGCCCCTGTTTAAAAAGGATTTTTCACCCTAAATTAGCTCAAACCATGTACAAAACCCCTGCAAACATGTTGTTTACACTTGCCACCCAAAGGCCATCCAGTCCAACCCCATTCTGCCAAGAAGCAGGAATATTGCATTCAAAGCACTCCTGACAGATGGCCATCCAGCCTCTGTTTAAAAGCTTCCAAAGAAGGAGCCTCCACCACACTCCGGGGCAGAGAGTTCCACTGCTGAACAGCTCTCACAGTCAGGAAGTTCTTCCTCATGTTCAGATGGAATCTCCTCTCTTGTAGTTTGAAGCCATTGTTCCATTGCGTCCTAGTCTCCATGGAAGCAGAAAACAAGCTTGCTCCCTCCTCCTCCCTGTGGCTTCCTCTCACATATTTATCCATGGCCCTCATCATATCTCCTCTCAGTCTTCTCTTCTTCAGGCTAAACATGCCCAGCTCCTTAAGCCGCTCCTCATAGGGCTTGTTCTCCAGACCCTTGATCATTTTAGTCACCCTCCTCTGGACACATTCCAGCTTGTCAATATCTCTCTTGAGTTGTGGTGCCCAGAATTGGACACAATATTCCAGGTGTGGTCTAACCAAAGCGGAATAGAGCATGGGGAGCATGACTTCCCTAGATCTAGACACTAGGCT